CCCCTGGGAGTTAGGACGCTACTGGAGGCCCCTGGCCTTACTACTACTTTGACCGCGCCGAAAACGGCTCTGTGTGTGTGTCCACCCCTGGACAAAGGGTCTTCCACCACCACTCTTTCCATGCTTTTCAACTACCTTGGACAACCACCTTATATAGGCAGGGGAGTGGAGCAGGCCTGCAGAGCTCCACTTAACAAAGCTCTCTGCAGTGCCCTGAGGATATCGGCCAGGACGCTGGCCGACGTACCTGCTCGTTCTTTCACAAGCTGTGACTCCACTTTTCCACTTTTTGATTCATGGTCCTTCATGTTTCCACCCCCAAACCTCAGTTTTGCAGCTGATTTGAGCCGTCAGTTCACCACCGCTGATATGCAGCCGAGTCAAGCGAAACAATCGATTTTCAAACACTTCCAAGTTGTCGGACTTTTCGCCATGCTGTTCTATCGCCTTCCTTCCCAACGTGGCAATTGCGTTAACTGAAAACCCAAGTTCGAAGTGTGTTTGTTTGTTTGGTTGATTGCTCACTCACTGGCTCGCTTGCTTGCTTGTTTGGTTAGCTTCTTGTTTGGTTCGTTGCTTGTTTGGGTGGTTGGTTGCTTGTTTGCATTCGTTTGCTTTCTTGCTTGCGTGCTTGCTTGCCTTGCTTGGTTAGTTGCTTGCTTAGTTTGTGGCTTGTGTTGGTTGGTTGGTTGCTTGCTTGTTTGTTTGTTTGTTTTGCTTTATTACTATTATGCTGTTGTGTGTGTGTGTGTTTTAACAGGGATACCCCGGCTGCTCGAGTGAACACAGGTACATAAATCGATCCCCAAAAAGCCACTGAGGAGATGATGGGAAGATTGGGGAGCCCATCACGTGCAACCATCACGTAGCAACCACCAGTGAAGGCTTCCAGACGGATTGAGAGGATCCGGAGATATACTGTAAGCCGTTGGATACCACCAGCACCTTCACCAGCCTCACCAGAGGGTCTGAGACTCCTCCAAAGGGTCCAAGAATCCTCCAACTTTCGCCTGATGGAAGCTGAGATCCACTCGAGCCTCATTTGAGCGTAAACCAGGTATGGTTTCAACTTCACCTCCAAGAAAGCCGAGACCGCTGAAGGCGGCACACTTTGGCAGTCTCTTGACTGGCTCAGGAAAAGCACGAAGGAAGCCCTGGTAGTTCAGCTAGGCTGGTAGTTCATCCAGGTAGGAGGTGGCCCATGGGGTCCATCTAGGGTAGATCCTAGTGTACTGTATTGTCTTGCATATTTGATATGAGACAGATTTGCGTATCAAGCAGTAATTGCCCTACCGTTTGCAATGCCGAAAGTAGGGCTGGGGCAACGCTAGCCGTTTTGAACTGAGAACAACATGATTCTGCAAACGTTGATTCTTTCCAGATGTCATGTCTATGGCCGAGGCCACCTTACAGAATCTTACCCAGTCCACAGTTTGTTTTGTTCAAACTTTAATTCTAGACTGGATGAAAAACAACAAACACACACTTGAACCAATATTGCTTTGTGGATGCTGGCCTTATTGGTGGATTACCCAGCCGTTCGAATCACCTAAGGATCAACACAAATGGCGAGGTCGGCGGTGCGTCTACGGCGCCTGCGGTGTTCTCGATCCCGAAAATGAACAGCACAGTTGAACTGGGGCTGTGAAGGAATATAATATACTACTCTTGGCGTTTGACATGTTGGGCATATTTGGGCATGTGTTTATGTTTTTGCATCTTTTGACCCGTTGGACACCAGCGATGTTTTTCTTGGAATGATGTGGTCCATGATCATCGACTGGGGATGGACTTTGATATACTTTGACCATCAAAGATTTCGATGGATTGAGAAACATGTGTGTTCGGCTACCGAGCGCCCATCTGCAGAGTGTAAGCCGAGCTCCCATCGAATGTAACAGGTGTTCCACGGTGGGAAGGGCAAGTGATTCTTTTGACCCATCCCATATGTGCCGCCCCATTGACGCCCCAACCCACCCCAACAGATCGGCATATATGGCGCGGCATACTGGAGCATCTGGGCATGTGCAATTTGAGTCACTTCTTTCTGTGACTTGATGTAAGTGTTCGGACAGTTCGAGCACATTTCAATCATTCGACAAGACGTTTGACTCAGTGTCTCTCTCTACCACGAGTCAACTGAATCTCCCACCGAACCTCCCACCAAAAGGCCTACAACCTCTCCTTCCTGATTCAGCGAGAAGAGGACATTTTACTGCCACCTTTGACATGCTTAGAGGCGGGCACGATCGAATGCCACGTGTGGACCCGCACATCCAATCCTTTCTTCGGTCCCGACCCCGGTGTGACCATCCCCCCTCGGTGTCCGATCGAACTTCCGGCACAACTCGACCCCCCACATGTACATCACTAGTGCATAGAATTAGGGTCTGTCCGTTCTTACCTGTAACCGCCAGTAAACAATCCTTGGGGATCCAAGTACCTTCTCAGAAGGTACTTGGACCCTCCAAACCTACATAACAGTGTCTCCAATCACCTTCTGAGAAGGTACTTGGATCCCTACAAACAAGGTCTTTACTAACCATCATCATCCACTGTCACAGGTCTTAGGATAGACCCAACGTAGAATCAGTAAATGATACACAAGGAAACAAATAGAGCAGGACCCTCAAAGTGACCTCTTTGGGAGTCTTTGTTCGTGACCGGCCTGACCGGCCTGGCGAAGTGACCGAACATCCTGAGGGACTGAAGGTCCTGGTCACGGACCGTTTGGTCTTGGTCATGGCTCCTTAGCAAAAACCGGCCCTTGAGGTTTTTGGAGGTTTGGCTGTAGTCTCCGGGAGGTTTTAGACCTTCGTGGTTCTTTTCCAAAACTCCCACAATGGAACCACACGCACCACCCAAAACCTCCCACGTTCACGCACACCCCACGTGCTCCACGCCGACCTTCACGCCGCTCCACGCCACGGTGCCTCCCACGGTGCCTTGGGTTCCACGGGTTCCACGGCGGCTTCTCAGGTGGTGTCCTGTCATCCTGATTCCATGGGACCGGATATCATCGTCTTCCAACAGGTGGGTCTTCCAATGACCTGCCCCTTGGAAGGCCGGAGAGGACCCAGCGGGAGCGAGGACGGCGCAGGGGGGTTTGGTGCATGGGGGTCTTGTTTTGGGGAGCTTGCTGATGAGGCGAAAGAGGTGGAGGTTTGTGGTTCAATATGGTGCAATATCATAGACAGAAAATGATGAAACTAGAACTAAACATGTCAATTTGTTGGCAAATGTTTGAAGGGTCACGGTTCTTGCGTTCTTTAATTCTGTTTCTTGGAAGGGGAACTTGAATCCTCGGATCTTCAGGTCTTCAGGCACATTGAATAAATGAATGGAGACACAGCCCATAGCCCTACAATCATCTACAATCTACAACCCATGAACAAACTCCATCTTGCCGCATGACCAGATGAATGCGGTGACAGCATGTTTCATGTCTAAGAGGTGCATATATACTGTATGATTGGATCGCATCTTTTTTGGATGATCGGGCCGCCCACCCGAGGGTTCCAGTTGACCTCTGGAACCGTCCGGGGCGGATCTCTCTCTCGAGCGAAGTGGAACAAGTGGTTCCACAGTGAAGGCCGACCTGACTCTTCATGAATCTTATACCAGGGCCCCCCGGTTTTGGGGATGTCTAATTATAGATCCTTGGCACCCCAAACAGGGGGGCCCTGGTATAGTACATCAGCCTTTAGATTTCTTTAGCCCAGTGGCTAACCTTTCTGGGGATTGGTTGTTCCAAAGGTACAGAGGAACCAGTGGAACAAAAGCTTCCGTTTGACACGTTCCGAGCACGAACCTGAGTCGAATCACGACTTAGTGCAACTTCAAACCACTCCCTACTCCACTCCCTATAGGTCCAGTCTGACCCAGTAAAACCATGTAAAAAACAAGGTCCCGAAAACCTCGATTGACCAGAAGAAGAGTGGTGTGACATTCTATGACCAACTCCAGGTTTCATGAGGTCCGTTGCTGATCTGTATTCGATGTTGGAGTTCTTTTTGGAGCTCCCAGATGAGGTCGACTCCTTCCGTCGAAGCTTCGGCCGAAGCTGCCGTGAAGCGACGTCTTCACTCGATGTCTTCCTCCGCCGGGAACCGGCAGGTTGTGAACAGATGGTTCGAGCGGAGGCATCCGAAAGGGTGGAGCGAAGGGGAGGAGCGAACTTGACAGGTGTCGCGTGGGTGTTGCAGGGACCGCGTGGGGTTTTAGAAGTTGGGAGCCTCCACCACCCACTACTAAGTTGTCGTTCTTTTTGGCAGTCTGGAATGCCATGGAGCTTGTGAGTCCAACAAGAGTCCGGCCCAAAGCTACAGGCGACTGGCTTCACACAACTCTAGCAGGGCCTGGCGACCATCGTCCCACTTAGCCTCCATGGACGTACCCAGAGAAGATTCACCAGCACAGCCCTGTTCGGATGGTGATCGGATGGTAAACCAATGGTGGTGCGGAAAGTGGTGTGGTGTGTGCTATAAATCACCCGGCACTGGGTGGTACTGGCGCATTGTCACATTGCACTTATGTTACAGTAGGTCCTTGGCGTCACCGGCACATTGGTCATAGAATTTGAGCATTTTCAGAGTGGACATGAACTTCTGAACATGGTGGGGTATACTTGGGCAGATGTGATGGATTCGTTCAAGAGAAGCAGTGAAAGATCCTAGATCATGTCAAGACTTAAGAGAAGCTGTTCCTTCTTTTGTACTCCCAAAGCACCAAAGCGGAGAAGGTTTGCGCATCCAAAGAATCTCCCATGGTCGGGCAGATTCATGACCACCTCCCATTCCTGACTGGGTGCAACTTGTTTTAGAATAAGGGAAGTTTCGGCCCCAAACAGCTGAGCTTTCCATTGAATCCAGCCACCCTCATGGTACACCAATAGAAGCCCAAGTCAAGAACCCAGATGTTTAGATCCACATCATCGACTTATCGACCCGACAAGTCTTGAAGGACCCAACAGCTGTCCTGTGGGGTGGGATGTCGAGGATATGGCGGAGCACGTGTCGCAGCACTTCACCAGTTATTGGAGCTTTGACCAGTTTTCGCAGCAGCTGGCCATCCATGGCTTCGTCCCTGAGAAGGACCGGGAACCTGAGTTTTGGACCAGGTGAAAGAGTGGCTTTGTTCCTGAACCACTGAACGGGCCTGAACGGTTTGGTCTTTGTCGGAATGGAACTCCGTCCGCCCAAAAGGGCCCCAGGGCTCAGATTCCCCTGTCACTACCTAATGTGTTGAAGCGTGCTGTCTCGGTTGATACTGGATACTGGTCTGTGTTAGATGGTCCAACGTCCTATGGGTCCCAAACAGAGGTTCATGTCCGGGTTCCAGGTATATCATGGTATCTCTATCTACTCCATAAGGGGGTCCCCAACGATCCCACCGGTCACATCTCGCTCCACGTGGACGGCCCCGCTCGGACCGGGCGGACCGGGCGGTGCGGAAGGAGGGACGGTGTGGAGTTCGGTGGATGCGGATGTGGAGTCCAGTATTCTGGAGGTTTTTTGTTTATTTGTATTTCTATTATGTTTAAAAAAGGGTGGGGGATCTACGAATTGCTCCGTCAGGTCCATTCAAGGTCTACGGATTCTTTGAAGAATTGATTTGTGTCATTGGATCACCAATTCATATGTTCAGAATGGCGTGGGAGTCAAAGAGTAAAGACAGAGGGGTGGAAGTGTGACAATGCCCCCGCTCCAGAAGTCACAGTCTCTTGGTTGTTCCAAGAGTAGATGCCCACACGTGAACATTGCCAGTAGACCAGAGCTGGTTCAGGCTCAGGTTTTCACCCGTGGGATTCACATGGTATGTCATGTCCTTCAAAAGAAAGGACCCATCCACATGGGTTCTACGTTTGGTGTTCATCAACGGATCATCAACGTGTCTTGAAATCAACTGTGATACTTGAGATACTTGAGGAATAATGTCAAGAATCAATCCTCCTTGGGATGAATCCATGTTCAACCGTGTTTCTTGGGATAGTCGCTGACAGGAGCTCCGGATCTTGGTTTCCATGCTGAAGCGACTGGGGCGGAATCTGGCGGAATGGGGTGCCGAGCGGCTGTGGCTTCCACTATATAGTTACTATGCGGATCTACCGGATCTGAGTGCAGATCTTTCGGATTGAAGACCTTCAATCTTGATGTTTCTCTTCAATCCAAGCTCCGAAAGGGCCCCGAAACCCGGTTTGTTGGACCACTTTCGCAAGATGTAGCAGTGGCTTCGCCGACCTCTCGAGGTCGCCAGGGTCCAGTCGCCTCTGGTGGCGTTTCGCCACCCGCGGGTGCAGGAGTTCTTCCTTCACTTCTGCAGGTCTCTTAGATCCCTGGTTCAGCTATACCTAGGACATTCTAGAACCCAACTTCATCCCACAAAACGGCCTCCAAAGGCAGCCTTCTCACCTGGGCATTGGTGAGTGACCTGACCAAAACGACGGATCATCGAGGATCAGTTGTGAACACTTGATTGGCTGAGCCCGGCTGAGCCCTCTTCTTCACTCTTGGGATGTCGAGTTTTTTTGGGGGACAGAGAAAGCCATTCGAATAGAATCCAACTGGGGGGGGGCGTGCTCAATGGAGCTCAAATGTAATCTGACATTCAACATTCCTGACCCCACTTCAATCACCATATCAATATCAAAGTATTTTTTTGGGGGGGGCCCACCATGAAGAACAAGTGAGCATGAAGATTTTCAACGTGTGATCTCCGCAATAGACACTTTCAAGCCAGTTCCACTGAAGTTTACAGACTTGATTGCTTCAAACCCTTGAAAGCATGTCAACCAAATCTCCCCGGAACAGCCCAACAAAAAGCACACCGCCTCACAAACCGCCTCACAGTCCCATCACCTTCAAGGCTCTCTCGCAAGGAAGACACACCCCTGCCCCTCACCCCTCACTCTCGTCCCACCTCGTCCCTTCAACTCCGACCCTTTGGGCCTTGGACACCCCACCAAGCCGCCAACAAACCTTCCCACCCACCCTCCCGCATACCTTCACACACATCGACACCCATCACCCCTCCCCCCTCCACCTCCCAACCACCCCCCAACCCGCAACGCAAGAAACCTCAAGAAACCTCTCCCTACCGCCCCTGGTCTTCCTTCTCGTCCATCCCTTCTCCGTCCCCTCCAAGGACCCCTGCGCGGGTCCGCGCGCTCGAGCTGCAACACACCGATCTGGCGGACACGGGCACGGTGATCCTCGCCGAGGCGCGGACAGTTGGCGGGTCCCTCCCGGAGAACAGGGAGTCCGGAGGAAGGGCGACTGACATATAAACAGGGAGTCCGGGGAGAAGGCGAGGCGTGCCATGTTTTCGCGCTTTTTTTCTGTATCCCGCCTTAAGCATCCTTAATATATAATTTCAACCTCTCAGCGATGTTTGTTGCTGTGTGTTTGTGTGTGGGGGAGGGGGGCAGGGGGAGGCTTCAACAAGTTCTCATGGATTGATTGCAATCATGTTAGAGTCAGAGCAAAATCTCCTCCAAAGGGCCTTGCCATCCACTTCCATGTTGGTTGGATTTCGCGTTGTGAGGTGATCAAGCAGCAGAAAATGTTGTTTGGTTCGGTTTGGTTGCTGATGTTGAGGATACATGACTCAAGTGACTCAACATTGGGGCCTGGAGCCTTGATTGAAATGGTGTTAAGATTTATACAGATGTTCAAACACATGATGCTCCTGCCACTGTGTCCTTCAGCCAAGAACTGTGATGAACGCGCCCTGCAAACAGAATGACAATGAGTTGTATGCTTCGTACCATCATCCATCATACCCATGACCGCTCGATGCCGGCACGATGCTTCAATTGACTATAAATGATTGGTGAGTCATGCCATGACTTGGTCCAACAATGCCTTTTGTCTTGGTCCAACAATGACTTGGTCCCATTGCCGTTATCTTGCCATTGTTGTCTAACAATTCGTTCGTTTGTTGGAAAGAACTGATCTTAGAGACAGCGGCCGAGATCGACAGCGGCCGCTGTCTCTCAGCCGTCGATGTGCGCGGACTCGCTGCCGTCGTCCCTTCCGTGCCTTCGATGGAAAGAAGACCAAACGACCTACACCGAGCGACCTACACCAGGCATGAGTCAATGACACTTCAGGCCACCCAAAGAAGTTGGCAAGTCCAGTTGTCGGTCTCACTTCAGGTCTCCAACTTCCCTCCCACGGCACTGAAGCTCCTGTTCTGTCCGTGGCCACGCCGCGGTGGACGTTGGACCGGTGCTCCCGGGTGCGCCGGTGCGCCGGAACTCGGCGCAGGCGATCAAGGTGAACCACACGGTGAGCCATGTGGCCTTGCGATCGAGCCTCGGCCGTCGATCGGGCGAGCGGGTGGCGAGCTTGCGGCGGGTATCGGAGACGTGCTGGACTCCGTCGTCGAAATGATGGACAGATCGATTTGGATACCTTTTTCACTAAGGAGATGAGGTAAATGTGTGAAGAACTAGCACATACCATCACATACCTATATACTATACACATGCATGTGGAAGCTTGTTTGCTTGTGTCATGCATTGGATGTGTTATGATGTGTTACATGTTCTACCCAGATGTGGTTGGGGGTTCTACGGCCATCCTTTGTAAGGTAACCTGTGTAGAGGCTCAAGCGACATCAAACTGCTGGAAAAGAAGCTTGCGTTGCAGAAGTGTACTTCTGGGAAAGGTAGCAGACCGGAGCTTTATGCAGAAGGGTAATTTCGAGTGGGGCGCTGGACTTGTGTTTTCTCGTAATTCAGACAGCATGTATCTAGAAGGATTGTGTGTGTGATTGTGTTCATCCTATAGAAAATCATTGTGTTCATCCAGCACAAACATGTGTCAAGATGTTATCGTTCAGATGTTATTGGGATAAACCTTTGTCGGAGGACCCACCAATTCTGCTAGGTTCCAGAATGATGCCACATCGCTCCAATCGGCTCCAGCCGTGGAAACGGCCCACCCGAGGAACCTGATCGCGAAGCGCGGCGCCACTGCTTTGGCCGAAGCGTTGCGAAGCAACGAGACCTTGGAGAGCTTGGACATGACGCTTGGACCACCAAACTGTGGCCCAAAGGGGCAGAGTTTGCTTCAGCATGAGAGAGAGAGAGAGAGAGTGATACTTATTCAGCATCTGGATGGCCATGTTGTCTCATGATGGCAGACCTTGAACGTTGTTGACCGAAGAACATGTAGACTCCCTGCCCTGATCGAAGATCGTGGAAGATCGTGCTTGGCGGCACGGCCCCAGTTCCGGGGAGTTCTTCCACCAGCACCACCCAGGCAGCTGGAGGGCTTATAGACCCCCCTGACTATCTATTTTCCATCTGAGAACCACCCAAACTGGGTGGTGCTGGCAGTTCCATGTTAGTTCCAGGGAGAGTTCATGGTCGCAGGTGGAACCGTTGTAGCACGGTTGGGTGCTTGGTGTTGACCCAGCCTTTGGGCCACATGACTGGACGGACATTCTGGGAACACTCTCCAAACCATGGGATCGGCTTGACCTTTGAGGGGGGCGTCCAGGTGGGTTTGGGTAGGTTCACCCTAGTTCTGCTGTAGGTTCTTCCTGAAGCCGTGAGGGCGGTCTATCTCGTTTTTTCGGGCACCACCGGGCCTTTTCAGCGCGAGCGGAGTGGGCACCATCGGGCCTGAATCAGAAAGAACAAACCAGATCGAATGCCAGAATATAGGCCCCTTAGAATGTCAGGTTATATGCCAGATGTTAGAATATATATTCCAGACAGAATGTCAGAATCAAGGTCAAAAGAATGTCAGGCAATATGCCACATAGAATGCCACACTATATGTATACCATATACCAGATAGAGTGCCTGAATATATGCCAGATAGAATGCTAGAATGTTTGCAGAGTAGAATGCCAGATGGAATGCCTTAATCGTATGCCAGTATATATGCAAGATAGACACTTTCTTGGTGATGCTCACTCAATATAGCTGCTTGTTATCAGCAGAGTACAGGGCATCACCCAAAGTAAAGTATTTCTAAGCCCCCTGCTGGGAAGAATTCTTTCCCGGCTCCGAACCAGCGAATACCAAGGAACTGTTCAGTTTGGGCTTGACCCACCGGTTCAATACAGTGCGTCCCTGCGATGGCTCCCAGGAACTCCAATGAGATTGGCGAGCGAGGTTGGCCGTGGCGGAGGGGGGGGGTTCGACGGGCCCAAGGGAGCTTTGCCCTGGCGCAGTCGCTGCGAAACACGGGAAACTATCAATCCACTGCATCCATAGAACAGTCCCAGTGAGGAACAAACAGATGAAGCTGGGTCTATGGATGTATACGGTCTACGGTGATTCCTTTGTCAGCATGGTTGGGTTTTAAATCTGGATTATCCTTTAATCAGGTGTGAGAAGCCAAACTGTGACGTGGTCATGTACCTGGACCTTTGGATGTGGGTGTCATGTCAATCCATAATAAGCAGTGTAGGGTAGTCCATCGGGCACCTCTTGGATGATGCTAGGAAAACCAAGGGGTGGGGATTGATCATGGCCCTAGAGAGAGAGGATGAGACGGGAGTTTATGCCACTCACGCGCTCAAAACGCCGACGCGAAACCATTGCCACATTCAAGGTTCCCCTGTCATCTAAAAGCAGAACTGACGTGTCTCAGCCATGACCAATTGCGCGCAAATGTTTTCCAATGAACCCACGAGACTAGCAGAAGGTAGACAGTGGAACGCAGCAATGAAAGGTACACCGCAAATGTGTGTATATTTATTATTGTTTTGCAGGGGTGCCTGATGTAGACAAACTGCCTGATGTACGATCCCAGTTCCGTTAACTGCTTGGGTAAGCTCTGGAAGCTGTCGGGTCGGGATGCATGGAAGGATGGCCGGGCTGTTGTCCAGAGGTGCAGAGGAGCTTGCAGAAGCCTTGCGGGTAAATAAGACCTTGGACACATTGGACTTGGGGAACAACCAGCAACTTGGTGAAAAGAGGATTATGAGGCGGGCGAGGGTGACTGGCACTGTAGGACATTGACCATCATAGACTCATGGACCTGTTTTGTGTTGCCTAGCATTCTATAGCTATATAGGCTATATGTGTGTTTCGGGATCACAAGTGGAAGCTATTGTTCCATAAGTTCCCCTCGGTGACATAACCAATCAACCTCATGGATGAGTCACAAGGACCACTGTCTGATGAAAGGGCTAAACCGCCTCGAATTGCATCTCTAGTTGGTTGCAGTATATCGAATTGCATGTTGTTCGACAAACCTTTGACAAGGCTGCTGGCTCGATTGCTATTCCGAAGGCGGTTGACATTGAAGAAGTACAGCCCCGCCCCCTCCAGGCCACCATCAGAATTTCAAGACCTGCCTGCCAGCCTCTTCTGTGTATGTTTTCAATTTACTCTTGAGGATTGCCCAGGACAGGACGGGAGGCAGTTCGTTTGCGCGACTTCGGGCACTTTCACGACCCGACCTGCCTTGACCGAGTACAGGCTCCCCCCAAAAAGTGTTTTGAGGGTCTGGATAACTGCTGAGAGGGTTTGACCACTGCCAAGAGGTCGTGTCCAAGGATTCTGGGTCAACGACCGTCGACGGAAGGGAGGATGTTCCTCCACTGGCTTTCAGATTACACTTGGAGGCTAGTGTAGGTGTCGTCCTCCACACCGTGCCTATTTGCCCCAAACCCCCGGAACTTTAGTGCGTTCCACTGGGCGATTGCCAAAGAACCCCCTCCATGCAACGACGCCCACGACGCCCAGGACAGGTCCCGGAGTCCCCCCTGGTGCCCGACCTTGCATCACCATGATGTCCATGTTGTAAGAGCAACATCTTCCATATAGATCCATATGCTGCATTTGAGTATAGGCTTAAAATCTTAACTGAGCTGGAAATTGGAATTCCCAATCCCTTTCACCCGAATTCTACAGTTCAGACTCGTACCTATCAAGTGGGTACTTGTTTATTTCTGCTATAATATCCTATATTTGTTGTTTCGCAGTAGAACACTTACACATTCGAACCACCACCAATGTTCTCTCCCACACCACCTGGTCGCTCGCTCCATTTGTTCCCCACCAATCCAAGCGTTTGGGCGCTGGGCCGCCCCGTCCGCTTCATCAGCTTCCGCTGCGCGGCGCTCGGTCGAGGCTGGGCCCAAAGGGTCTGGTCCCCCTGGCCGAGCTGCTGCGGCGGAACCGCAACCGCTCGCTGCGGCACCTGGCCTTGGGGTGCCTGGCACATGGCGGCGAGTGTGGGGGATGTGGGGAGAATATATGGAGGTGTTAGTACATCGTTATAAATATGGAGTGGAGGGGGTAAGGAAGGGAGGAGGTGAAGGGTACATTTGACGGGACCAAAAGAGTAGTGGAGGGTGGCATGTTTGGTTTGGATCACTTTTTCTGTTGCGTGTGGTTCTTTTTTGGGACTGGCAAGCGTTTGGTCAACACGCCCTGGCTGAACCAAGTCTTTTCGACCTTGTTCATGACACTTGTACTTCTGTGGGGCATCCACAGACCGACTGCATCCACCCACCCCTCTTCAAGATTTCAAGAAGTCGACCCCAGTGCCATGTTGTGCAGTTCCATCTGAAAATCTCCATGTTCCGATCTAACGTAGACACAGACTGGTTCTATGTCACTCCCCAGGCAGAAGAGGTTCTTCTGGCTCCAAATCAGGGGCTTCAAAGATGATTATTGGATTGAGTGGAGCTATGGAGTCCAAGAAGGGATGATGATCCAAATAAGGGGCTGGCTTCACAAGAGTCTACACAATTGAACCATACGTTTCGACCCCCCTTTCGACCACTTTCCACCCACCAAGCCTTCTTACGCCGCTTCCGAAGCGGTTTCTGCTCACCATCGTTGCGAAGGCGTTTTCCCCCAAAGGCGACTCCTGCGACCCCGGTGTTTGAGGTCCAAGTCCCCCGAGCCATCTGAGGGTCGAGCCGAGCTGGTACCATGCCCCAGACACTCCATCATGGGACTGCCACCTTTTTGCCGATCAGGGTGGTTGGGGGTCAACTGATCGGCATAGATGGCAGTCCCATGGAGGTCCGCTCTTTCGATCTTTCGGGGGTTTTCTCCAACATGCTCTCAGATCATCGCCCCGATCTACGGTAGACCTCCCAGATCGTTCGCCTGGGAAAGACCGACGGCGGTGGGATGGACGTCCCTGAAATTCGGCTAAGGAACAACAACATCGGCCCAGATGCAATTGTTTTCCTTGCAGGCGGCTTGATCTCTCAACAAACATCAACGAGATGCGCCTGGGGGTTGAAATTGCCTGCTGAGTGAGTTATTCGATGTTATTCGGGGTTCAGGACATTGAGTGGCAGGCTGATTATTTGTACTCATATTTGTGCTTCTTTTTCTGAATGTTTCAGGTGAGTTTCAATTGAATGTTAGGCAATTTAGTCATTCCCTATTCCCTACTCCGGACACCTCTTACGGCGTCGCGTAAGCCGAGCATTTCGCTTGTTGTATCCCAAATCAGGCCCTTGGCCATGGCCGAACAGAACAGACCGAACGAGAGCCAGTCCTGGACGCTGATGTGAGAGCCAGTCCTGGACCTTAAACAAGGGCCAGAGAAGAGTTCCCAGACACGACTAATGGGACTGCCATATATGCCGATCAGTTGGGGTGGTTTTGGGGGTCAATGTAGGCATATATTCCATACATGGAGTGTTTGGGGTTGATGTGGTTGGGGTTGTCAGTTTTTGCACCGCGCAATGTACTTGTCCACTGAGTCCACTCCCCTCCCTGAACATGCCAGGTGTGCTGAAGAAGAACCACACCCTGGTGGACTTGTCCTTGAATGTCAACGATGTTGGTGACAAAGGCCTCTCTCACGTGTGGGGAGACACCTTTACACCTTCTAATTGACTAGCAGTATACTGTATAGAGAAATTGAGAAATTCAATGACATTCCTCATTGTCCCACTTTGCTCGCACTTTTTGCACTGCGTACTCCTTCCCTAAGGAAACCATTCCTGCACCACTTGAGACAGAACACCTGAAACACGCAATTTGAATGCTATATGGAACCATGTCATCCAGGACTTATTTAATAAAGGTGTGCCAAACTTGGATAGCAGTAGCCATTATCCACTCACTTGGGGACTGAAAACAACTTTAACAACTGTTTGGATTTGTTTTTAGACGTGTTTGGGTGGTGAATTCTGGCGAACTTCCTGGTGCTTTTTGGGGTCGATCATCTCTCTTCCCAGGAAATTCTTTCAGCAAAGTGAACACGTAACAAAACGCCTGAGATGCAACGAACGACGAAGAATGGAATTGACCTGACATTTCCTACTCAACCACAATTCAGAGTCTTCAAATTAAATCTGAACCGGACTGAGCATGAGAGTCAATATAGCTTCTTAGACAACTTACAACCCAGGCGTTCGGCTCTACTACAAACATGTGACTTGTGACTTGGATGGGTCGGAACTGGCACCGGTCGAACTCAGCGGTTGGAATCTCCATTCGAACGAGGAATTCGTTCAGATCACTAGTTGGGACCCATCTTCATGGCTGGGAGACCACATGTCACCAGTTTGGCCAGGTGCAAGGACCCTTGAGTTGTGTCATTTGTCATGTTCTTGACCCCCACCCTGGGGTCATTACCCTCCTCCTGGCAGGTGCAGAGGCCTTGGGTGAGGCCTTGAGCAGCAACAGCTGCTTGCAGCGTTTAGATCTCAGCAACAACGGCATCAAGGCTGCAGGACCGAGCGGGGCGTCTTCGCTCTCTTCGCTCTCTTCGCTCCTTCGCGCCTGCCGGCGTCGATCGCTCCAGTTTTCCGGTTCAACCAGAGGCAGCGGAGCTCAACAACAGCTGTGGAGCGGTCTTGGTACTGTTCGGTTGCGTGAGCGTTTTGTTTTTTTTTGTGTGTGTCTAAGGTTTCTTGAAAGGATTGGGTTTGTGATGTTTGGAGCCAAGAAAGGATCAACCAACCAACCCACCCAAACCCAATACTTACCGGATATATCCGTTTGTTGTCTTCCTGCACATGACAGAGACACAAGGATCAATACATGGACTACCAGCGGGGGGATGTTTCACCATGCACTACGGCACTTTCGCGATGTTCGTTTCACACCAGACTGCGCAAGAACTGAGAATTGTTGCATCACCCAGTGGATCCCGGGTAGCCACGAGTAGTAAGGAACCAGGGATTCGTTCGGTCTATGGTTTTAGTCATTTGGAACCACAGGTGACAAGCGAACTGGTGAGTAACTAGTGGCTTGCCTGGATGCCCCAACTATGAACTGAGAATCGGTCGAGATCTCGCCCGCCCAGATGTTGCCTGGACGCACGGAACTGCCGACGTTGGAGTGGGATTTTGAACGGTTGGATTATCACTAAATCCCGTGATGTGCTCCAGTCAATTGACTTGCAGGAATGTGGGAACTAAGACAACGAATCAAGGATTGTGGATCATTGCCAAGGGCGATTGTTCTGGTTGTGTTCGAATTGTTCGGACCAAGAAAATGACCCGCATGAGGTGCTCTTTGAGTTTTCTCCAAAGGTATGCTCCTGGCAACCCTTTGTCCCTTGGTCTGGGGGCTTGGAAGACCAGTTTGGTCTGGGTCTCCAGGAGCGGTGGCGTTCTTCAATGGCCTCAAGAAGAACACTTGTTTCTTGATGAGATCAGACGATCGCCAAGCATGTTCTCGGGACCGAAAGCCAAGCATAGACGATGGTTAGAAGTCATGAAGTCAGCAAGTGCACCCTCTTAAAGAGGATTGACATGCTCTATCTACCTGCTTCTTCAAACAGTTTCATATCCCAGTTTGAGGTCACACGCGGGCCTGTAAAAGGTCACAAACAGGGACTCCATTTGGAGGCCACGACCTGAAGAAGCCGGTATCCCAGTGTGTACATGTTGGACTGTAGAAAGACAGAAGATGGCAGAAGGCCTTTCCAATTCTGTGCAGCTGGTGTCGCGCTGCTCGAGGTTTGGCGCAGCTCATCATGGAGCTCAATCCCATCGGCGTCGCAGGATGGAGAGAGGGCCTGCACAGACCCTGACACGACGGGACCTGACACCCGATCGGTTGGGTTGGTTTCCGAGGTTGATGTACCCTAAGGATCCAAGTACCCTCTGAGAAGGTGTTTGGGGTGGGTTTTGAGGGGCCAAGTACCTTTTGAGGAGGTACTTGGATCCCTACGGGTAGGTAAATATCCATGGAGTGTTTTGGGAATCGATAGAGAGCTTAGTGCCAAATCAATTCTGTCGCTCACATGTCGGTGTGATCATCTTATATATAGTGGGAAGTAGACATAAGTAAACCGTCTCTGAAGCACACAGTTCCTGGGCCAGATAAAGCAGACCACTCTTTGATGCAGACCTGTGTCCCGGTAAAATCCTGCAAACCCTGTGATAGTGATTGAGAACTCAATCATTTCGTAGTAGATGGGTGACAGGAACAACGTACCACATGTTTGTTTGAAAGCGTCGACTTGCTGGCCCTTTCTCTGTCCTTTGGTTGTGTACCAAAGGCCTCACTTCCATTTGCAGGGGTTGTTTATGTGTGATCATCGCATCAGATGTTGTAATACGGAAGATCAGAAATGGTACTCCCCGGCAGATTAACATGGAACCTCAAAGCCACTGGGTTGGTATTTGGAAAATGGTCCAAACCACACAGGTGAATTCTCAGGTTCCATATGGTTCCATGTTAGTTTGCGGGCGGGGGGGAGCACATATGTCCACCCTCGTTTTCCGCGAAGTGTCTCCGACTTTGATCCACACTGGTCATAAACCTTATTTTGCCCAAATTGAGTGAAACACATGCCAACAGACTCCAGGACTGTAACTGACTGTTATAACCTGCTCAGCATGTTGACTCACTTCACCCCCCCCCAAATCGTCACCATTTCTCCCATCAACCTGGCACGGACGGAGCTGCTCCACGCCTGGCACGGCGCGGAGCTCCCTCTTGAGGAGCCACGGTGTTGATGGAGGTCCTCCGGGTTCATCCAGCGCTGCAGTTCCTGGAGCGACAAAGGGTTTTCTGCTTCGGACTCGACCGAAGGGGTTGGAGTGGAAGACATGGCCGACGCAGGCCGACGCGACCTGTCTGGGACTGGCAACATATACATGGCAAAGACCCGGTCCGGTCGGTGACGCCAAGGTGGGGGAAATATGGTCCCAGACAGGTCGTGCTTTTGGGTTTTGCATATTGATATCAATAGTTTGGGTTTAGTATCAAACATTGTATTCAATATTTCAATTGTTCATGTGGTCACCCCAAAAACGCTCAAGTCCAATCTGGAAGGGGTCCCAAACATTCTGCTTGGCTCTGTTTCTACCTTTAACCGCCCCAAGGGTCGACTCATCCCGCTCTCCATGCGGAGAGCGGCGCGCAGGATATGCGCTTGACGGACCTGGGCAATGAAGGCTGTATCCAAGTCGCTGAGGGCTTAAAGGTCAGCCAGGCGCGCGGGGCTATTTCAGGTGGTCTCAGAGATCGTTGGTGAGAACAAGCAGTTGCTTCCTATGACGTGAAAGCAAAAGGAGAACTGTTCCAATACCGTATACACCTCCAGTCGTACCTCCTCAGGTTCGCTATGACTGGAATTTCCCAAACCCACTCCCAAACACCTTCCGAAGTACTCAGATACGATTGGAGGCCTGGGGAATATGGTTCAAACATGACTCGCCCTATGGATCCACTGCCACCTTCTCAGAAGGTCATTGGACCCGACTGGCTGGCGCCTACATCAATAGTCCCCCTGCTACCATTTTCTCGAGGTTCGGTCTGTGGATCCATCGGGTCGATAGTCGTTTGATGTTCCGAGTTGTGCCAACCGTTTGAGCCGCGGGACTTCGCCGTCCGGTGTTCCGCACGTGGTAGGCCCTGAAACCAGTGTCCGCCAGTGGGGTGGGGCAGCACGTTGACCGGTGTAGGGTTTACGTGATGTGAGGTCCGCGATGGTTTCGCTCCACCTCGCACCTGGTTGGTCCTTGCAAGCCTTGACCCTCCAGGGAATTTCTGGAAGTTTTCTGAGATGTCAGATGCCTAATTGCGGAAAAAGAAAGAACTCCATGGGACTGCCGGACTGGATGCCTACATCATTGGTGATCGGGAGTCATACGACAATATAATTAAGTGTTTGGCACTCTAAAGCCCTCCCCCCCCGATGCCCTCGGATGAAGCAAGGCACTCCAGCACTTGGACTTGAGCTACAATCAGATTTACGACCGAGGCAGGAAGCGACCAGGAGTCCATTTGTTGTTCTTTTGGAGAGAGTCAGGTGGCTGCTGGAGAAGAATGAGATCCATCAAAATCATCTAATCATATTGGTGAGAAACCTTTTATATATACTCCTACAAGTACTTAACTGTTCTTTGACAGGTGTGTTTTGTTTGGTATCATATTCTAATTTATGTTTTGTCACATACCTCAAACCCAATCAGTTGAGTTGTTGACCCGAGGGGTTGCAGCAAGGTGTTTTCTTGTTGAATTCACAGGAATGCCAGCCCTCATTGAGAGGCGTGTTTGTCAAGCATGTCAGAGCCTGAACTGCAGGCCCTGGAGGGCATTTTCTTCTCGCTGCGACGACTGGATCTCCCGATACATACCTGACCAACTGATAGGTAGCTACCACTTGGAAGGACATCATCTACCTGGCACCCAGAAGACAAGGGGTGCGTTCGGATCGTATTTGGATGCTTCCCCATGCCGTCGCTTCGCCATCACATGCCGCTGCTTTCTATGCCTGGCCGCCGAGGTGGAGTGGCGTTGGCCGACGCCCTGCGGCAGAACCGGAGCTTACAGGATTTGCTCCTGCGTACGAACCAACTGGGGGACGCAGGCCTGGTGTGTTGGGGCAATGCTGTTGTTGACATTCTTTATTTATAGTTGAACATGTTAAGAACCACGGAAGGCATGGGAAGGCAACTAACTTCAAGCAAGGTTGCAGGCAAGCACGGCTTATGCAGGAACGATCACTATTTCCAGAAGCGTCGTGACGTTCAACCTGGAAGCATGAAGCAACTTGCATCATATGAAAGCCTTTGTCCCAACAGATAGGGTCCTTTGAAGAAGATGAAGGGGTAGAGTCGGTTGAGGTGACTAAATTCCAAGGCCGTTGTGTTGTGTATCCTGTACCGTTGCGACTAGCACTCGCAGCTCCCGTCTATATACGGGCCTTCACCTTCCGTGGGACACACCGACACCCGAGCTCTCCAATCTCCAGCATCCGCGTGGGAAAAGGGAGAAGGAGGCACCGACAGGAGATGATGCCCATTATAGTGGTCCCCAATGTAGATAGAACATGATAGAACGTTTTCCGAAACATGGGTATACTTTTCTATGTATTTGGGGACCACTATATATGCCAACGACGCGTTCCGTGTGAAGGGTTGATGGTTGATCAACGCGTTCCGTTCGAAATTTTGGCCGCTGTCGACCGACACCAGACGGTCCACGTATGTCCACGTTATTTTTCAGGCGTGATTGCCTTGGCCGACGCCATCCACAAGCACCGGACGCTACAGCACCTGGCGTTGGATTCTTGTGCAGTATGGAGACTGAACCTGTGATGCGGAAGGTTTATCTATATACCTATAGTCTTAGAACCCAGACATGACATTATTTTTGATAGGGAAAAGACTCTCTCCAACCACCCCAACTCATATTGCTGTGGTTGGTGCGCTTAGGACATCCAGGGTGCCCCGTCACCCAGCGGTCTTCACCCTTTTTCCGGTCCCCGCGGTCCCCCCCAGAAGGGGTTTTCCTCCGAATGAAGTGGACGGCTGTAGGGATGTCGGGATGTGGTCGTTGGATGTCGTTGGGTGCAAAGCAAATACTTCACACAGAAGAGGGCTTTTGTATTTTCGACGTTTTGCTTCCAACTTCCAATGTGTCCACCTGGCACAAGTTCGTGCCGAGCTGGCACTCCGAGCTGGTCCAACGGATTTGTATCTAACGAAGCACCGGTTCCAAAGGCTCCATGTGTAGACTCAGACCGTTCGGGCTCCGGGTTTCACAGTTGCTACATGCAGGAGATGTGGGATTTGACTAGAGAGTGGCACAATAGCAATGCCAAGGCACAATGTCTTTTAAGATTGCAATGATTGGGGTCCTAAAGCTGTAGGTCACTATGAAATCTGCCAGCATTTGCTGTTTGCCATCCATCAAAGTCGTACTGGGTGGTTTTTCCAAAGGGAGTCCGAAACTCTTTGGGAATGGCGGCGATGCCAAGGACAACAACCAAATCTCTCAGTTGCTTGGACCGCACGTGGAAAGCATGAGGTGCCAGTTTTGGGGAGAAGGGCAAGGCTAAACAAGTTGCCACCACTGCGAAAACCTGAGAAAGTCTTATTGAAGCCAGTGAGCCACAAGCATCTGAAGGATTCTATGTGGACAGAGGAAGCCATTGGTGTATCGGGTAGTAAGTAAGTAAGTAAGTAAGTAAGTAAGTAAGTAAGTAAGTGATGACCCCAAAAAATTCTGTGCCAGTGACTTCCATGGAAGCCCATGCCTAAGCATCCGTAGGCTGGTCCACGGCCTTGTTTTGCACCACGTCGAACATCGTCCACGGCCTTAGCCATCACATAAGGTTTAGCCATATAACATCCAGCTGGTGTTACAAAAGGACTGGGGATCCAACGTTGTAGCTGCAGGGTGGCTCAAAAGGTAAGACTCAGTATTACATGCATTTACATGCAGGTTGACTCGCCATGTTGCCCATATATATATATATATATATATCTGTCGGTTTTGGGGGGACTCTATGTTTGGGCCGCAACATGAACAAGAGTGGATTCCGTGTTGAACGCTTATTAATTGATAAATGCAGCCCAATACTCAAAAAACACTTGTGGCAAGCATGCCCTCAAGTTTGTCTAGTTGATTCTTCTCGCAACTGTGTGTTGTGATGATGCAACTTCGGGAACCACCGCGGAAGGTACTCCCTCTCATCGCCTTAGATGAAATGCTTGGAACCGCAAGGTCGGGAGTGGCAGCACTGGCGCGCTCCTTGCAGAAAAGCAAAGCGCTTCTTCAGCTGCTTGGCTTTGAAGGAAGGATTGGGTGGAGCTGAAGCAGACAAAGACCTCCCTTTTGCGTGTTCACACAATCGTATCCTGTAAGACCAGACAGAGCATTGTACCATAAGCACCTTGATACTCTTTTGGGAGCCGAACTTGTCGCGGGAGAGATACTGAGACCAAGCTGGGACCACTCGGTGAGAACAAGCGGAAGCACCGGGGTCAAGCGTGAATTGATGTGAACCAGGAGTCACGTTCGACGGGGTGGTGTGGCTTGTCCCATCCAGTGAGCGGAGTAGGTGGGCACACCTATCCTCCAAGTCCGGCACCCCGTTGTGACTCCTGGAATGTCTTGTTATATGATGGTTTCGGATCTTTTTATTTTCAACCCTTACTTGGGGATGATTGGACCCTCTGACCAATATTTTTCAAGTGGGTTGAAAACACCAACCAGATATATAGTCAATATATTTCATCCCTCAAAGCAAAGAACGGAAACAAACACCGAGTCCCGCCTGGAAAGCGCGTCTTGATTTCTCCCGTGAGGTTGTCCTTGGACTTGAACTGCATCAAGAATCAAGGCCTGGAAGGAGGGTCGGGTGACCTGACGAAAGAGTGGGGAAGAAGTCTCTCAGAAGAAGAGAGCCAACCAACATAGCATATCGCATTTGGCTGTGGTGGTTAGGAGGAGTGAGCGACTTGGGAGAGGATGGGAGAGGGTACGAGTTGTGCCTGAACAAGTGGAGCAAGGGATAGCAAGGGTAATTACAAGGAGTTACCATATTAAGTACCCGCTTGGATTGTTCCCAAGGTATTCACATCCCGTCACATTGTTGACATAGACAGACATATTTGCTGATTGGTCTGAAGCCCATGATCCACTGCTATTTTGGGCAAGAAACCAACTAAAGTAAATGTTCTCAAGCAGAACGATTTCCTGGTTTTGCTTGAGGCAATTCTATATCTTTATGGATGAATCCCCCAGCATGGGAGAATATGTGTTTACCTTGTTTTGCCCTTTTCCTGCCCCAAATCAGCAAAGCAGCACATCAGCTGGACACTGCTTTACGTCTTCATCGCCACGGAGTCATGCACCGTATCAAAACCGTCCACGATCGAAACCGCCGTTGGGTGCGGCGCGTCGTCACCGTGGTCCTCCAAACGGTCGGCAGGTGCGGCGGACCTGGCGCAAGCGCTCACCGTGAATCGGAGCCACGCGGTTACGTCGTGCGGCTTTCGGGGAGGAGGAGGTGTGATGTGTGGGTTTGTTGGAACTGTCTGACCTGTAACAGTCGGTATAAACAAGAACATCACTATTTTTAGAGAAAGGTCTTTACTTCATTTTACTTACCATCATCATCCACTGGAACCTGGCAGGTTGGATATTTTTGGACCCAAGGGAGACTTCACTGGAGAAGAGTGTTTTGGTTCAATCTGGGCTGGGTACATGGAAGCGTCTTCCCGTTTGAAGTCGATGACTGCATGGTGTGGTCATCGCTGCATCGCTGGGGAGGACATTTCACGATCCGAAAAGATGGGAAGGTCCTGCGGGAGCAGTACCATCTGGCAGCCACCATCCACTATCAGGATGGTAGGACTATCAGGATGGAGTACCATCTAGCAGGACCATCCACTATCCATGTATCACCCTACTGGCAGGACTGACATGGGTTTTTCTTGGACCTCCAGGGATAGCGTAAACATGCGTACACGTCTGTGCCAAGAGTGGATCGAGGCCGCGAGAACCATCTATGCCGATTATATTTTGCAAACATTGAAGGTACCAAATTTTGAACTATACGGACCATTGGGCAGCAACAAGTCAATCTGGAAGTCCGATGAACACGGTGTTTCGGTTTCAGAGCGTCTCAACCAACTATGGGATCTCATCAAGAAATCCTGGGGACACCAAAATCGCTGTGACCACGGTCACTTCGCCGCGAAAATCGCTTCACCGGGCGTGTCTTGCAACGCTTTCTCCAGCTGAGTGTCCCGAGGTCTGCTGATCTTGCGCATTTGCTCCAATGAAATTGGGGAGCAAGGCACGACCAGCTGATCAGTGGCCCCGAAGTACAACTCCCTGAAATCATCATGGAAGTGGCATGGTCCTCACAAGGAGGGAACAAAATAACAATCAAAGCAACAAGGTGGTGAACTCCACTTCCCTGATGATTTCAAGGAGATACGAAAAGTCCCCCCATGAGAAGGATCGGAGTGCTGGTTGGTGGTCTGTGTCGAAGAGAGCGGATGTGACAGAGTGGTGTCCAGTCATGTCGTCGCTTTTCCAGTCTCACAGCGCGCACTTCGACACTCGCAGCAGGAGCTCGTGGCCTGTCTGGACATGTTGACCTATATATAAGAGCTTCATAGAAATTGCCACATATAGATACAAACCCATGGGTGATGGTTTCTCCTATCGGGTGCCCAGGTGCGGCCCTCATTTCGCCCTCCACAGGTGCAGTGGCCCTTGCAGATGCCTTAAGACAGAACTGCACCTTGCAGCAGCTCATAGCCAGTGCCATGGCGCCATTTCTGTGGCTGTTTTCATGCTGGTTAGTACACCCCGTCGACGGTGAACAGACGGAGAAAAATGGATGATTTGATTCGACGTCGCCGGAAGACGAGGCGTTCCATCGAACAACAACCAAAAAGCTGGAGAAAACATGAGAAAACATGTCCATCGTCTTTCTACTTTGTCGCCTGGTGCGACATCAACCCACTCGGCTCGGGTCGCGCAGTGCGCTGGGCGACGGGATGACATGACTGGTTGAAGCTGCTTGAGTCTGAATTCAACTCCATTCAATCCATATATTCATATTACATATCCAAGCACTCCAACCCAAATCCCCAAAGAAGGGATCTTCCCGTCTGACCCCACATCGTTTCCCACACCCTTCTCCCTTCCGTCGTGTGCTGTGCGCCGGGTTCGCTCACACACGTCACCCGCGCCCAGGCTCCAACCTCTTCGGGCAGCACGGTGCCACGGCGCTGGGCAGCGCCCTGCGCCACGGCGCCCAGCAGCTGCAGACCTTGGACCTCCGCTCCAACGGCCTGGGCGATCCAGGGGCCCCCTGGAGGATGAGCGAGGGGAGCGGTGGTGGGTCGGTCGAGCTGAGGAGGAACCGAGGATCGACGTTAGGATGAGGTGAGAGCAACGTGGTTCAAAGGCAACGACTTGGACCTCATATTTGTTGGGTTTATTAATGATTGACATATCCAGATCATATAGACTGTATAATTCCTGTAAGTATCTGTAAACCCAAACAAAAGATTGATGTTGGCTGTTTCACCGCCCCTCGGCTGTTTCGATGTTGGACCATCCAGGAGATGTGGGGTGAGGTTGGACCATCCAGTCTACACTCCGTGGAATAGTCATAGATGTGGACAACCACCTCTTTGTTTGAATGCCAATTGTCTGAATACCAAAGAGGTGGTGAACTTCACTTCCATGACTATTCCAGAGTCGACACGAAACCGTTTATATCATGCTCGTATTTTCGCCCATTTGAACCTTATGACCTCCTGACCTCCTTCCCCATTCCTTTCGGGATCAGGCATGGCAGAGCATGGCGATGCACATGGGAAGTGTGCTACTTCACCTGTTTTCCAAGACCCCTATACCCGACATGGTGAGCGCCTTCAGGCGGCAAACCAGTGGGGAATTCATGGCGCAATTCGGACGGACGTGCAGCAGGTTTCGTGTAGCAGTTCTTCGCCTCCCATCCCATGGAGTGGGGAAGTCGACTGACGAAATGCTTCACACGTCCTGTCCCAGCACATCCTGTCCCAGCACATCCTGTCCATCCTGTCCCACCCAGAGGCCCAGTTCGAAGCTGAGGTCATTGCACTGGCAGAGGCCCTGAGGCAGAACAACAGCCTGCAGACTCTCGTGGTGCCTTGGCGACGTCCGGAGAGGCAGACCGAGACTTCATATCTTAGGATTCGACGCAGACCGGGCTGGAGCCTGCCCGGCTGCATCTTTTCACCCAAGCTCGTCCCTGGACGAAAAATCCCTGGATTTGATTTGAGATCGCATAATTAAGGTTGTTGAAGGGAGATTTTCCTGGAGTGTCAGGCAGTTTGAACAAGCTGGCATTTGCCAGAAGCACCCAAACTCCTTGCAACATCCCACCATGTTGGTGAGGCAGCGAGGCAGTTCCATGTGGTTGGACCTTTCTCGAGCGAGTCGCGCTTTGTGACCGCAGAGTGGTGGGGATGACCATTGAGGGTCTGAAAACCCCTTCAGTGGATCCATGTTGCCTGGTTGAAGCATGGGTGTCATTTCGTGTTGTTTGCCACTCAGTGAATGCAACATCGAGTTCCATATCGTTCCAGCACGGGCTGTGTGGAAATACCCGGATGGACGTTCCATCTCAGAAGTTGGCAGAGACCAGCGGATCAGCGAGGCAACACATCTGATGTGGAAGACCACATTGCCCATTCTAGGTGATCAAGTTATATAAGTCTTCAGTAACTAGGTGATGTTCAATGTTTAAACCATCCTGCCCTAGTACCGCTGCTGCCCTAGTACCCTACCACCCCTACCGCTACTATAGGCCCTGGAAGTTTGTCCCATCCTCAGTTAGCCAATTCCATCCCAAAAAGCTGGCGTGACAGGAGATCTTCCCGTCGACGCTTGTGTATAGCGAAGGCCCACAGGTCGGAAAAGTGGTAAATCCTTGGAAGAGACGAATGCAGGAAGAAGAGTACCGGACTAGCCATTACTTAAGTGCTAACCTTTAAGTCGTGCCATTGACAGTTAGGTTTCCGTATGATTTTCTTCATACGGATTCTCCTACCCTTTCAATGGACCCGGTCGACTAGTAGGCTCCCTCTTTGGCACCCCCCCGGTGCCTGGCCTCTCGCGCCTACCATTCAGGTGGGGAACAACCATGTCCAGCGCGCTGGTGCTGAAGCATTGGCAGAGGCCTTGAAGGACGAACCAACACGGTCAACGCGTTCGAACCCCGAACTCGGCGCTCTCGCGGTGGGGCGACGGACTCAGTCGCTGGGTCTGGCGCTTGGTTGGGATCGGAGCTTAGAGAAGTGAAGTACACCCGGGAAGATGAACATGGAACCTGAACATGGAATAACCCTATAGAAGACGATTTTCCGAATACCAACCCGACGTGGTTTTCAGGTTCCATGTGGGTCTCTTCTAGGGTGAAGGTGTGAAGAGGCGAAGCGACGTGACCTTTCGACAAAGAGGCTTAGAGAGAAGCCGTCCTAAGGGATGGTGTTTTGGGCTTTGAAGCTGGTGATGGGAAGTTTGTGGAATGCCAAGCTATATGCCAAGCTGCAAGCTTTTCTAGCTGCGGCCTGACTGCTCTAGCTGTACTACTGAGCTTTTGTGGGCACATCATAGCAAGTTCACAATGTGAGTTTTTTTGGGACTTATTGATGGACAGGGTTGTACGCATGTTTACGCAAAACACTCTTTGGGTAGATGGCCTGGGCTTTATCAGCCTGCCTGTTCCTGTTCTTTTTTTCGTCCGACCTCGTTCGCCCGCGCGGACGCTGCCCCCATGATGCAAGCCTGCCCATCGCTGCCATGAGTTTGGGCCGTTTGCCTACTAAAAGAAAGACCGCGCGGTTGGAAGTGTATTGTGACTATATATAGCATGAAATGGCAGTAGCCAGAAACTGAGGGGCTGAATAGGGCACAGTCCAACAGACTTGGCATTTTTGAATATCTTTATAGAGTCATATAGAGTCTCATCACTTATGTGTTTGTGTTCAGAAGCGTCCAGGCGTCCATTGCAGCTGCCCCCCGCCCTCTTACCAACAGGCATGTCAATGTGTCTATGACCACTACAGTAGCGACCTGGTCGTGAATTTGGGCCATATGTCCCCGGAGCAAGCACCCAACATCGATACATATCTACACTCCGAGTCACTAACATGTAAGTGGGATTTTGGGACATGGTCGTCATCCTTATGGGGCCATCCACGTCCACGTAGCTATGATGATTCATGCAGTCTATATCGAATCAGATTCCATAGTGTTGCTTTCTTGTGATTTTTTTGTATTTTTGTGTGCTTTTTTGGTGTGTCTGGTCAATTAGTACTTAAATTCGATTCCACACATGAAACAATGTCTGACATTGGGGTGTCCAAACCACCGGAGACACCCAGAGGCTTTGCGTCTCGATGTGCGTCGACGTCCTCCGTGGACCGCAAAGAGAATCACTCGCCCTGCTTCGAGATCGGGTCCGTGCACCATGTGCCAGTCGAGATCTGAACGACAAGCGGAGCTTGAACCCAAATCCCAGTTTTTGCTTCAGGCTTAAGGTGATTTGTTCCTTTTCTCCTATGGGCAAAGACCATGGCATGATATTTTATGTAATTGGTTCACCCCGCGCTTGTTTTGGGACGGTTTCGGCCAGATCTGGATATCTTGGCCACGGTGCACGGGCGGTTTCCACCGATTATTCCACGGTTCCGGGCGAGGAGAACCGCTCCTTACACCACTTAGATGTGCGCTTCAATGATGCTGGGCTTGGCAGAAAATGGGTGTTCCGAATCTTCCTCAACCAGTAAAGCCAGGTCTGTGACCTCATTTTTACAATTGACCAACTCCAGTCAAATGGCTTTATCTACGTACTAGTCTTTTCGGGTTCTAAGTGGACCATGGCTTTTCCCGAAACCGTCAGAAGGTTGTTCGGCAAGAGGAGAACCCGGGGAGAGTTTCATTGATGATTTTCGGCGATGTTGTTCGGTAGGTTCCTACCCTGCACCTGACGGTTTTGGGCCGCACCTGCTGCATGGCTTCCATGACCTGGTCGGTAGGTTTGGAGAACGTGTTGCTGCGCCAGGTGAGCCTCAACTCTTGTGGAGCGAGTTCGTAGGGTGCAGGTTTTGTACTGCATGGCTGATTGAACTGCTTTGAAGTGGCTGCTCTATATGAGTGAACTCAAAGAAACCGGCGCAAGTTTGACCAAGGACATTGGTGACATCGGCACTACTGCTTTGACCAATGCAACATGGCAGGTTTTCACAAAGATGGATTGATGCCTGTCACTGGTTTATACAGAAGACACTGCACTTGTTTTACTGCAATTGCAGACTAAGTATAGACCCTATGGTTGGTATACTAAGCCCTATCCAGGCTACGGCTCGGCCTGTCATTGGCAGTATGATACGTATGGCTGCTGGCTATATTCTATATATAAAATAGTAAAAATAGCTATATAGAGGATAGGTCCTATCCTATAGCCCGATCAAGGCCCATACTGCTAGCCTTATCGAAGGAACTCATGCCAGCTGCAGGGCTGTCCTTCGGGCCACCGCTTTCAGAAGAGAAGGGGGTCATGAAATTGCAGGGGTCATGCCATGGAAAAAACCGGGAAGGTTGGAGGCCATTGCTATTAGGTTGGAGACCATTGCTACTAGAAACAAAGGAAAAAGAAACGGAAGACAAGTCTAAGATACCTGGACCCTCCAAGGGGTGTCCAATGGACTACCCCACACTACCTATAGGCTTCCAGACAGGGCACCCCTTAGAGGGTCCTGGCATGTTAGCTATTCGTTTGGAGGCGATGGTCTTGGGCTCTCAAAGGAGCTGCCAGAGAGGACGAGAGGTGCCCCTCCCGCTGTACACCAAAGCACCCAGTCACATGATGTTCATCGAACGCAACAAAGTGGACAGCCTTTTCACCGTTTGGGGGTGAAAATGCTTTTCCCCACTCCAAGTGCAGACAGATTTCGGGAGTCAGGTGGAATTCCTTCCGGATTTCTCTGGAGTCAGCCACCAAACGGCCACCAGGTGGCATGTGTGCTGCGACCCCACATCTCAGGCAGTGATGTCCCATCTCAGGCACTGAAAGATCGAGGCGGTGTGAGATGTCCACCTGCTCCACCCTCCCCTACACCTCCAGTCGTACCTCCTCAGGTTCGGTGTCAACGACCCTCCAAACCGCACCCAGCAGTCGTACCTCCTGAGTCGGCCCAGTCCGGGCTCGGGAGACCCGGGAAAGCACATCTCAGGCACTGAAAGATCCCAATTGCAGTCTGCAACAGTTGGGCGTTGCCTCGGTCGAGCTCACACCGCTTCTCGGGTGGCGAAAAGTGAGGGGGTTTGCATGGGGACGGCATCGGTGTCGGCGGATAGCATTGATCCATTGACTTGGGGGGGGTGCAAGGCT